AGCCCAAATCCCAAAAAAAATTCTCTTAAGATTGTCTTTGTTTTAAACAAAAAATAAAGGATCCAATATAATTAGTTCCATTTATTGTACTAAATTTACGTGTGTTTACTGTAATTTGATACGGGATTTATCCGATTTGTTTTGAGATTTTTTTTGTGATTCCACATGAATTTTCCTTTCTAGTGACACGACCAATGAGATTAATATTGCGGATAGAATCATATAGTGGAGGTCGACAGCCAAGTGGATGCGAGCGCCGATTGTGGACCAAACTGTTATAACAAAGGCCGTTGAAAAGAGACTCTATCCAGTATACCCGGTGGCACCATACTCCTCCTCCTATTTTTTACACTACTAATTCTTACTACACTTTTTTTCACTTTTCTAAATAACATCCTATAATTTACAGGTTTAGTCCCTTTGAGTTTTTTTTTTCTCTCCTTTAAAAAACATCTCTAATCTTTAAACGACCATATCTCATGATCCGTAAAAAATTAGAGAACGTGTTATACATAAAAATTATAGTACTCGTCGAGATTTATCCAATAAGATCCATGTTGAATATTTTTCTCGAGTTTAAAAATGACTAAATTTTGATGGGCAGAATAAGATGGATATCTAGTTTAGAAAGATGGATAACCCAATTCATTTTAAATTGGTTATCCATTGTGTTTATGCTGATAATCCGACCGGTTTGAACTGGTTATGCAACTTGTTTGTACTGGATATCCACCCATTTGGTTTGTATGCCTATGAAAATTGTTTGTAATGGATATCCCAGTTGTTTGTACTGGATATCCAACTCGCTTGTACTGGATATCCATCTATTTGGTTTATATCCTTATCCAACTTGTTTTGTAGTTGTAATCCAATGGGTTTGTACGCATATCCAACTTGTTTGTGCCGGATATCCAACTCGCTTGTACTGGATATCTAACTTATTTATACTGGATATCCATCCATTTGGTTTGTATGCCTATCCAACTTGTTTGTACTGGATATCCATCCATTCGGTTTATATGCCTATCTAACTTGTTTGTACGCACTGGATATTTATCCAACTTGTTTGTAGTGGATATCCATCCATTTGGTTTGTATGCCTATCCAACTTGTTTGTAATGGATAACCCACTTGTTTGTACTGGATATCCATTTAGTGTGTACTGAATATCCATCCATTTGGTTTTTCTTTTTATTATTATTTTTTTGAAAAAAAGAAATTGTTGTCCAACGCGTTCGTATTGATTATCCAGCTATTCTGTATAGATTATTCGACTATTTTTTTTCTCTACTCTTTGTGAAAATCCTTGTCCAGTTTTTTTGTATTGACTATCCAACCGTTTTGTAAGCCTTATCTAATCGTTTTCACTGATTATCCAAACATAATTTCTCTTTTTTTTTCTTCTTTCGAGAAAAAATATGTCCAATGTGTTCATACTGATTATCCATCCGACTTCTCGGTGATGGATGGTTATCCGATTTTTTTCCCTTGCTCTTTTAATGAAAATGATTGTCCGATTTTTTTGTACTGGTTACCCAACCAGTTTGTACTACTCATCTAATTATTTTCAATGATTATCTAAATTCTTTGTAATGCTTATCCAAATATTTTATTTTTATTCTTTTTTTTGAAGAGGAGTGAATGTTAAAAATATGACTGGATAACAAGTACAAACAAAATGGATAATCAGTTTAAACCGGTTAGATAAATCTCGTCGAGCACTATAAAATTCATATATAATTCGTGTTCTAATTCTTTACGGATCAATAAATATATGTAATACAAGAATATCAATCTAAAATAAGTTGGTTATCTATCTTCTTTTTTCTTTTTTAAAAAGTGAATGTAAAAAATATGATTGGATAAAACAAAATAGGTAATTAGTCCAAACCAGTTGGAGAATCAGTATGAACACAACGGATAATCATTTTTCAGTTTATTCATTTCTGCCCGTAAGATTTAAATGCATTTAAAGTTCAAAAAAAATATTCAACATTGATCTTATCAGATAGATCTCGTCGACCATTATAAATTTCATATATAATTCGTGTTATAGTTCTTTACGGATCAAAAGATATAAGGAACACAACAATATGAATGTAAAATAAGTTGGTTATCCATTTTCTTAAACTGGATATCCAATGTGTTCATATTCAACTTCTTTGTGGTGGTTATCCAGTATTTTTTTCCTTGCTCTTTTATGAAAATGATTGTTAACTTTTTTTGTACTGATTATCCAACGTGTTGCACTGATTATCTAACTATTTTCTATTGATTATCCAAATTGTTTGCAATGCTTATCCAATCATTTTTTCTTTCTTTCTTTTTTTTTTTGAAGAGTGAATGTCAAAAATATGATTGGATAACAAGTACAAACAGAATGGATAATCAGTCCACACCGGTTGGATAATCAGTAGGAACACAAACGGATAACCATTTTTCAAAGAAAAACGAAAAAAATATTTCTTCATTTCTGCCCGTAAAATTTAAATGCATTTAAAGTTCAAAAAACTTATTCAACATGGATCTTATCGGATAGATTTCGTCGAACACTATAAATTTCATGTATGATTTGTATCCTAATTTTTACGGATCAAGATATATGCAATACAAGAATCTTAATCGAAATTTAGTCATTTTTAAACTCGGAAAAAATATTCGACATGAATCTTGTTGGATAGATCTCGACGAATACAATAAAATTCATGTGTAACATGTTTTCTAATTCTTCACGGATTGAGAGATATGATCGTTTGAATATTAGAGATGATTTTTTAGAAGAGAGAGAAAAAAGTGATAGGGACAACTTGCAAATAATAGGAAGATTATTAAAAAAATTTTAAAAAATACAATAAGGACTAGTAGTGCAAAAAATAGGAAGGGGAGTATGATGCCTCCGAGTGCACCCAATAAATTGCCGTTGAAAAGGCTAATAAACATCAATTTAGGAATTGATGAAGGTAACTTGCTAGTCACTCTTATGGGATTCAATCTGAAACTTTTCGATTAGATCATAAAGGAATATGATGTTTCGAAATGTCTCTTCCTTTTTATACCTCTATTAATGTACATGAAAAGAAAAACTGTCTCGGCAGTACGTGAGAGCAAATTCATTCAATGTATGTTGTTAAAGTGAAATCTAAGTAATTCATTTTCCTAATTAATAACATGTTTAATCAAAAGAAAGAAATCAAGAGATGCTCTCATCCTAGCAACAATAGTCCATTTATAATCATTTATAATCTAAAAAAAAAAGATAAGTAATAAAAGAAATAATTAAATATTGTAAATGAAAAATTTTGTAAATAGCATTTAAAATCAATAATATTTGCTTTCTAAGTAACATTTTAAAAGGATGATAAAGAGACGTGTAACATTAGAATTTTAGATAAATTAATCCGAATAGTTGTATTTGATTGAGTATAGAGTAGTACATTTATGCATGAGAGGTTAGTACAAAATAAAAAGTAGTTAGGATACATACAAAAAATAAGATAAAGATAATCATTCTAAAAAAAAAGAAAAAGATAATAATTTGCTACGATTATAAATCAAATCTTTTAGTTAATATCCAAATCCTTGACATAGAGCACTTTGATTGACACTTTTCGGTGTCTTAGTATCTTAGTAGCTTAGTTATTAATTAATACATAAACTTATTCCTACACTAATAGCTACCGCCACGTCAAAATTTACCAAGAAAAGAGAATTTATTTTATATAAAACAGTGAAACCCATTTCTTAGTGGTTAAGGCGTTTTACTTCATAATGTTAGACTCGTATTCAATTTCTACCAAGGGTTTTGGGGTTTATAAGAGGAGATTTTATCCATCTTTAAGTGAGATCCACATGGGTAGATTTTCGGAAAAAAAAAAGTAAACCAGATTCGCAAAATCCGATTTCTACTTCCTACTTCAATTTAAATTTTCCCGCCAAAAAACAAAGTTTTTTTTTTCTTTTTAAAATTTAGTTTTATAAAGTCGGATTCTTAGAATCCGATTTTAATTTCTTTCCATGATTTTTTTCTTATTTTTTGCCTTTTCCAAAATAACGAAAATTGATATTATATTAATAAATAAAAGTCGGATTTCAGAAATCCGATTTACTAATTAAATTAGAAAATCGGATTTTAAGAATCCGATATGCCTATAAATTGTCCACCTGAAACAGGGAAGCCTAGATCTGTCTACTCCGAGTCCAGGAGCATTTTTTTGGGGAAAGCACTCCAAAATGTACCAGTATATTAATTTTTAATCTCTAATAAATGTTTTAATTTTTTTTTATAAAAAATTAGTTTTTAGTCAAAAAATTTTATTCTTTAAATTGAAAAAAAAGGATTAAAAAAATAATATCATTTTTTGTCAAGTTAGATTATTAAAAAAATTAATATGTTTATGTAAATTAACCATGAGTTACAAATATCCATATCCATAAATTTGCACAATACTGTTTAAAAATAAATAGTTTTTTTTAAGATCATATAATATATTTTTATAGTTATGAGAAATAGTACAAAGCAATAGAAAACAGAAGAAATTAAATAAAAAAGTGAAAAGAAGATTGTTTGGTCATTTTTATAAATTTTTTGGGTTATTTTTATAATTTTAAAAATTATGAAGGTATTTTTATAATTAAAACTAACAGAATTCTGTTAATTTAAACAGAAATTGATAAATTAGACAAAATCGTCTAACGGTTGGGTAGCTTATGTTAACCGCAAAAGATTTCTTAAAGATAGTGTTTATCAAAAAAAAAATAAATAAATAAATAATAAAAATATATTTCTTAAAAATTAAAACAGAATATAATAACTTACAAACTAAAAACGCGATTAGTGGGGAAAAAAAGGAGGAAAAAAAAAACTCTTTTTTATGAAATAAGAAAAAAAACTGTTTTTTTTTTTTTTTTTTGAAGAGAAAAGAAAATGAAAAACAAAGAAGAAAAATACACAAAAAGAAGAAAGAAAGAAAAGCAAAAATTGAAAAAGAAAATAGAGTTGGGGACGGGCTTTTTTCTATTTCTGCCCGGGTCTTAGTCTTAGTCTTAGGGTTTAAGGGTTTTGATTGATTGGTGGAATTAGTAGCAGTCATACGCATCCCCTTTCCTCCTCCGAGCTCCGTCGTGATTCCAACTCCCTCTTTCTCTCTCTCCGGTGAGTTTCTTAGCTTTTCCGATGAATTAGACTCTTTGATCGTATTCTCAATTTGAAACTAATTCTGCCTTCCCCCTAAATTTCTTGGCTTTTTCTTTTTAATTCAATAGGGGTTTTGAGATTAAACATGGCGGAAGTAGAGCCAAAGATCTTAAATTCCATACCAGAGACGATATTTAAGAAGAGGAAGAACAATGAGGAGTGGGCTCTTCGGAGGAAGCTGCAGCAAGCTGAAAAAACGAGGATCAGGTCTACTAGTTTTACTATAAAGAAGCCGGAACAGTTCATCAGAGAATACCGGGATAGGGTAATTTTTCTTCTATCGCATTCTAGCTGTAGTACTTTGATATGGTTTCGTGTTTGATATATATGGTCTGTGTTGATAGTTTTGTTTGAACAAGATTTTAGCTTCTGTGACTTGTTTCGTTGCATGTGGTTTGGCTTGGTTTAGTCAAATGTCAGATGTATGTGCTCATCATATTCATTGGAAGACTCACAAATGTTGCTAGTTCTTTTGTGTTTGTTAAGATACATATATGGTTGGATTTGATTGAAATGCTTTTGTTTAATTCTTTCATATGTTTATTTGTTCTCCTATAACTGTTGGATGATATGATTGGGTTGAAAAACCCTATTCAATCCACATTTATTTCTTCTCTTTTTTCTTTTTTCTTTTTTTAAGAAAAAGAGATTACAATCTGAAGCTTTTTTTTTTTTTTTTGGAGGGAAAAAGAATAATCTACTGACAGGGGTTTGGGCAATTTCTGTTCTCAATGTGGAGGGTTTCTATTGCTTTGGAGCCAAATTTCTAAATTACATTGGTTTTCGGTTGCTGAAAGATAAATCAAATTATTGGAGGCATTTAAATTGTTAATGCTACGATGCTTTTTTGATTGTTTTACAGTATACAATTTGTCGTCTGTTCATTTGATATTGTTTGTCCTTAGATCGCTTGTGAGAATTTTTTATGTTACTAAAGCAGAATCATTTTCCATGTAAGCCTCTACCAGACTTTTATGTTCCTAAAGTAGAATCCTTTTTCCATGTAAGCCTCTACCAGACACCACCTTCTATTGATGTACGGTGGTAATCCTTGTCCAGACAGAATGGAGCACTTTTCTGACAATTTTTAGTCAAAAAATGATAGGATGCAGTTACCGATAATCAAACTTCCTATTTACTTCTTCCTTAAGTCAGGAAAGGCTAGCGCAGTTTCACTAATGCATGAAGTTTCTGTCTAGAGGTGATACAAATTAAATTTGCAACGTATATTTTCTGTTTAAAGATGGAAATTAAAGCAGAAATCTAAGAAGTACTCAGCTGTGTGCCTATGTCCTTATTCTTAATCACCATTGTTCAGACGCATTTCGTCGGCAATTCAGTGTTATAATTGAGCTATGACATTCATGCTTCCTAGCAATAATGAAGGAGAAAATGATCAATCCTAGCAGCACATTAGTTCACCGCTGTTGTGTGCAATGTCAACTTGCTTTCTAACCCAGAAAAGTTTGGTTTTTACATCTTTTTTTTTTTTTTTTGGTGGGGTTAAAATGAACTACAGAGGTGGCTCTAACTAGTAATATGTTTTGTTTTCAAATCAAATCCACAAACATTCAGTTGATTGTCGTCAAATCCAAGAAACAAAGTAAAATGATGTGACCAAGGAAGTCATAAACAGTACAGATTCCTACAGACTAGAATAGAAGCTAACTAGATGTGTGATATTGGATTTTCATCATGTTATCTGTAAAGAAGCCTGAACGGTTCATTAGAAAATACTGGGATAGGTTAATTTCCTCTATTAACTGATACTCTTGCATGACTTTATTCTTTGGAGTAATTTGATATGGTTTTTATGTTTGAGGTTAATTGTCGATGCTGATAGTTTTACTGGAGAAGATGTCCTTTGATTAAGAGTTCTATTTTTGGCATGTTTTAGCTTAGCATTGCCAGATCTATATATTTGTTCATAGGCAGTAGAAGATTTCCAAATGCTAGTTCTTTTATGTTAATTTAAAATAAAATAATGAAGCCATGGTTTTCATTAAAAGTCTTGTTTTTTTAACCTTTTGTAAGTTTGTTCTCCAACGACTGTTGAATGATATAAATGGGATGTGCAATTCTGATTCCCTAAGTTGAGATGGAGAAACTGAAAAGCCAATTCGCAGAGCAAGTTCATCTGATTACCATTGTTGACACTTGCATTGAAGGTTGGCGACAGTAATTGTGATTCTCCGTGCCTTTCAGATCAATTCTATTTTGATTATGGCCTCGAACAAATCACTACATATTCCTCAATTACTCTCTCTTATTCTCTCTTCGTGGTTTTGCTTGTCCTGTGCTAGCAAGTTTTGCTGTCAAGAGCATGTAGTTTCTCATCTTTTTATATATTTTTTTAAGCCAACACTGTTAATAGTTCAGAATAGCTTGCCCATGAATTTATGAATGGTTTTGACATATCTAATGTGCTGACAGGCTAATGAGTTATTGCTTTGTTTTTTGGCCAGGAGTTGGACCTTATCCAAATGAAAAACAGGAAAAAGCAACATAGAAAGAGCATGGTGATCCCGGAATCCAAACTCTTATTTGTCATACGGATAGGAGGGTGAGTACACAAAATTTCAATGTTTATTCGCTGCTAAATACATTTGTACAGTGATCTATCAGGTGTAGTCTGCAGGTATTCATGTTGTTCATGTTATCTGACTCTCAATTCAGCATTTGTAGCATTGTATAATTGCAGCTAGCCTTTCCTCATGACTTGCATTTTTTAAATTAACATTACTTTCTGTCATTGCATTCCAGGAAGAATGATCTTCATCCAAACACTCGAAGGATTTTGTACTCTTTGAGATTGAGGAAAATCTTCAGTGGTGTCTTTGTCAGGTCAAGCAAAAATCTAATGGAGATTTTGAAAAAAGTGGAGCCTCACATCACATATGGGTATGGCAAGCTGACCTTATATATGAGATTTATATATGATGGAAGATGTGTTTGTATTAATTTCGGTTTTAGTGGACTCCGGAATTTTGCTCGATGTGTCTCTCATTAAACTAGCTTCCTTAGCTGTATCACCCAATCCCCCTCTCTCCCTCCCCTCCCCCCACTCCCCAAAAAAAAAACAAAAACCATCTTGTCATGGACCTCCATATTTATCTATACAAGTAGTTCTTTTTTCTGGAATGAGAGGCTGGCCTGAACTAACCAATCAAACTAGTCTAAAGAACTATGGAAATAATTTGAACCGGTATTTCTCTTGATATTTATTTTAATCATTTTTATTGGTGGTAATGCTTGCTTTAAGTAATTGAACAGTTAGGCTTCATTCTCTTACTAAGTTGTGGAGAAGGAAAGTTGGATGTTTATTGTGCTTGGCCTCTTGTTCTGGCTGCTTTTTCTCATCCAATTTCCATGCTTTTAGGTATCCAAACCTCAAGAGTGTGAAGGATTTGATTTACAAGAAGGGTGTTGGAAAATTTGAGAAACAGAAGGTTCCTCTAACTGACAACAACATCATTGAGCAGGTATTGCAGAGATAGATCATGAATTTATTTGTTTTCTATGGATGTTTGCAGATCGAAACTTTTGATAACCATTTGAAATGATCGTTTGGTAGGTATTGGGGGAGCATAATATTTTGTGCATTGAAGACATTGTGAATGAAATTGCGACTGTTGGTCCACACTTTGAGAAGGTTTCCAGTTTCTTGTGTGCTTTTAAGCTTGACAAGCCAGAGAAGGCTCTGCAGGGTAAAAAGAAAAGGTTCAGGGACGGAGGGGACTCGGGTGATCGAGGGGATCGAATCAATGAGCTGCTTGTCAAGATGAATTGATACATGGATTGTTAGCTTGTTGGTAGAAATTCAGATATTGAGGTGATGTATGTATAATGAAACTAAATTCCGTCTTTGTCTAGTTTTCAGGCATTACTTATTTTGTAGACGTCGGCACAGTACTAATTCCTCCCCACGAATTCATAGCCACATTTTTGGTGAATTATTTGTGTGCTTTGATTGACTGCAACAACGGGAAACTGTTCCTTGAATTGGCCCTGTCAATCAGGCCAAGTAAGACGGGGCTCAAGCAGGCCAGATTGAACTCTTTACAATATCAGACCTGGTTGCAGACTGGATTCTCCGTTCAGGCTTTGTATGAATTCAATCGCCCTCAAGAAAACATATACATGATTTATTTTGTCTTAGGTTTCACCTAGCAGAAACACTAGCACAATCGAAAACAAATCGAATCAATCATTGTTCCAGGGAATAAGGCACCACCCCCCCCCCCAAAAAAAAAAAAAGAGAAAACACCAAAAAGAAAAATAGCAGATCATTATAAACGCAGAAACACCTCCTCACCTCATTAACATTTAATACCAGTCAGAGTCGTCTTCTCTTTGTACACCAATTGTTCATATGTACGTTCAACCATGCATGAAACCATTTTGGCTTCTGAGTATAGAACATTAGATGTCCCATCAACCCAAGAATCAAACCACAAGCAAATCCCAAGAGCACTGATTCCTTGGTAAGTCCATTCATCAGGTCCACCTGTTCATCTGTTTGAGGATTACTAGGATTCGGTTGTGATCCCTCGTGTGATGCTCCACAATCTTCAAGCGGGAAACCACATAAGCCTGGATTTTCGCGATACGAATCAATGGTAAATGTATTAAATTGCCCACCAGTTGGGATCCTTCCCATTAGTCGATTCTGAGATAGGTTCAAGATTTGAAGGAAATTCAGATTTGCTAGTTCAGCAGGAATATTACTGGCAAGTTGGTTCCATGAAAGGTCCAAGGATTCTAGCGCAAGCAAGTTCCCAATTGTTGATGGGATTACGCCATCAAACTGGTTGTGCGAAAAATTCAGCACCATAAGCCCGCTCAGCTCCCCAATTGATTTTGGAATGCTTCCTTCAAAATGATTTCCAGAGAAATCGATGCCAATGAGAATATGTAAGGCCGAATTCAGCTGAAGCTCAAGCCCCTTCATCACAACAGTCACGGAATCTTCAAAATACGGGTGGCGGGTTATGTCTAACTGTCTTAAACTATCATTCTCCTTCATAGCTTGAAAACGATCCATCATTTCTGCTGGTAGGACGCCATCAAGCTGATTATATGATATGTCAAGAAACCGCAACTTTTGAAACGATCCATCTGAAATGGTACCAATTGTACCATGGAAATTATTGCTTTTCATAATGACAACATTAAGCTCTGGGAGAGTTCCTAGCCAAGCTGGAAAGGTATCATTTATATTGTTTTGCCCGATGTCTAAGATTTTCAAACTTGTACAGTTGAGCAGAGATTTCGGCAAAAGTCCTTCTAAATGATTCTTGCTTAGACCAAGGAAACTCAAAATATTGCCTTCCGGAAAATATTTTGGAAGCATTCCATGAAGGTTATTCTCTCGCAAGTCCAAGGCTGTGAGCTTGCTCATGTTTCCAAGGCAGTCAGGAATTGTACCGGTGAAATTGTTGTCAGACAAAAGAAGCATATTCAAGTTCTCAAGTGCGCACAGAGAAGGTGGCACTGGCCCTTCGAATTGATTTCCACTTAAAGCAAGGTACGTCAAAGTAGTGATCTTTAAAAGACTTGGAGGAATCATTCCATAAAAGCCATTGTTCTGCAAGTCCAACATTATGAGTTTGCTCAGGTTCCCAAAACATTCAGGAATGCTACCGGCCAACTTGTTGTGGCGCAATGTAAGATACTGCAAGTTCTCCAATTTGCAAAGAGAAGATGGCAAAGGCCCTTCAAACTGATTGTCATTCAAAATAATGAGGGTCCAAGAATTGAGAGTAGGGAAGTTTGTGGGTAACATCCCATGAAAGCCATTCTCTCGTGCATCAAAATATCCGAGTTTGCTCATGTTCCAAATACAGTCGGGAATGGTACCATTTAACTTGTTGGAAGCGATATGAAGTTGCTCCAACTCCTCCAATTCGCAGAGAGAAGGCGGCAATGGCCCTTCAAATCGATTTCCAATGATAGATAGGCCCATCAGAGAACTGCCATTCGGAAAACTTGTAGGAATCATTCCTTGAAGGCCATTGCCTTCCAAGTCCAGCAACTTGAGCTTGGTCATATTCCATATACAGTTTGGAATCATGCCAGTTAATTTGTTCCCCAACAAACCAAGAACCCACAGCTTCTCCAATTTGCAGAGTGAATTGGGCAGATTACCCTCAAGAGAATTCCCTGATAACTCTAAGGTTCCCAAATTCAGCAAGTTCCAAAGGCTCGCAGGTAATTCACCAGTGAAGCTGTTCCCTGTCAACCACAATTCTTCAAGAAGACTACAGTTTCCTACTTCCGGAGGAATGGAACCAAACAGTTTATTATAAGTTAGTCTGACTGATCTCAAGTGTTTCAAGTAACCAATTTCATGTCCCAGTTGACCCGAAATATTGTAATAGGAAAGGTTCAAAGAAACCACAAATTCGGCCTCACATATCACCCCATCCCATGAACAAGGAGTGGGATGGGAAGCATTCCAGCTGAAACTGATTGAAGGGGCAACAACATCCCATTGTCTGAGCAGTGACAGAGAGCTTGCCCCTCCGAGTTCAGTGAAAACACAGCGTATATTGATGCAGAGATGCACAAGAAATGCAGCACAATAAAATTCCCAGGCATGACCATGTTTACAATTTGAGTGGCCAAAACAACACAGATGCTGGTTGATACAAATACCTGAGAGACAAAATTCAAGAGCCCCAGATATCTGTGGGATCTGCACAAAAAGTTGAAATTTTATTGATCCATGGCTATAGGAGGACAAATAAGATTAAGGCCGAATGTCAACAACCCATTATGAAGCAAATTCTCCAGGATAGATAACCCAACAAAAAAAAAAAGAAAAAAAAAAGAAGCCTGTGAATTGGCATAAAGATTGAAACTTTATTCACTTAAGGGATGAATTAATCAGCAAGAACACAAGACGAATATGTTACATACATACCGGGATGGCAACAGATTTTTCTTCAATTCTGAGCTGAAAGCAGCTGACTTGAGTCCAAAAAGAAGTAAAAAATGGTGATGATTCAGCTGTTGGAATCAAAGCTGAAAAGGAAGAGTAAATCAATCATTGTCCATTTTCTATTGCAAACACAGTCTGAAAAAGGGTTGCTGTCACATTTCATTGGCTACCCATTATATTATATTAATTAATACCTCAACGCTTTACTTGGTGCTTAATCTATATTATTAGCGCATCTGATTGTATATAGGCATGTGGAAGGCAGGGAAAATAATAATAATAATAATAATAAGAAGAAGAAGAAGAACAATCAATCAGATTTCAACAGAACTCCAGGCACAAGCTCATGTGGTGTGGTGAGATTTGAGTGTTTCAAATCTGACAGCTTCAATAGATGTGATGAGCTCAGCCATGGATTGCTTCCTGGTAATCTGTTTCTGTTTCCAAGAAGTTCCTTCTGAAAGTTTGTACTCCCTCCGTGTCTGTCCGGTTTTAGTTAGTCCATTTAGTTGAACTAAAAGCCCATAGCACCATCTTAACTTTGTTGATGCAGAACTTTAAATCATCTTCCGTTTTTAGTCCAATCAGCTGATTTTGCGAGTTCCTAACAGCAGTTACATCACCTGAAAAGCACTTGGATGTTGTATTGTGATTTTACCCCTCAGAGCTTTTTGCCCAAAGAAACACAACTACTTCAGAGCAAAATATGTAAACATTTGTATTACATTTAATCTTCATTCAATATATTTGCGATGTATTGCTTTTTTGTTTTTCTTTTACTAACATTTTAAGACAATTCCTGTATTCTTCATGGCAAAATGATCAAAGTCATGCGCTCTGCATTATTCTACTCATATTCAGCACATTCGGGGAATACAATACAACACATCTTTCATACATTCGGTTAAAAATCAGAGGCAGATGGACAAATGATGCGTTTATTCAATTCACGAGAATTTAAATTTATATACATATGAAAGGTGACGATGCTTGGATATGCGCCGCCGGTTAAACGGTGAAACTCCGGTTAGGGTTTCCTGCAAAACAGGGCCTCGGGGTCTCCCGAGAGTAGACGCTCCGATGCTTAAGTCAGTAAAAGGGTTGCTAGAAAGTTTGGGAAGGTAGTTTGTTTAGCTACAGATTGCGTACTTGAATTGTGGTATGAGCTACCTTATTTATAGGTATGAAATTACCTGGACAATTCCGAATCCAATTAGGTTTTAGGGATTTACACCGCCCTAAGAGTTCCAGTTGGACTCTTCTTACGGTGGGTGGGCCGATACAATCTCGGTAATGGATCTGAACTCGTCAAGTGCTCCTGCCGAGTGTTAGTGACGTAGAACGAAATGATGTTTGGCACAAAATAAGCATTACCTGAGACATGCCCGAGAGTGGATAGACCACCCTCGTTCAGCTAATTGTTGAGGCACGCCTAACGAGCTCGGTGCTAACACACGACTCTCGATCTCGGAAGATCGAGGGGAACCTGCGGGTCGAGTAGCGACCCGGGAAGACGACCCGCTCCCCGATCCCGCTCAAATTTTCAATTGTGCGTTATTAGTGGGCACGTTCCCCAAACGGCGGCCTCAACTTTATTATTTCCTTGAAACCCGCAATAACTGTCAAATCGTGGTCCATAATTAAGGAAACGTGGGAGCATCAATTTCCCTTTTAAAAGAGAAAACTCCTACTATCCCTGGACACTTAACCACTTTTTTTTCCTGTAAAAGCACAAAATCCTCTCCTTTGCAAAAAAGTATTCCAGTCCCCCTTCTACCCTTCCTTTTCAGAGCATCCTAAATCTTTTTCCGGTCGGAATCTTCAAGGTTTTACCTGATACGCTGCTCTGGCGAACCCGTTTCCAGGGGAGTTGCAAATTGAAGCTTCCAGACAACGCTTGGGAGTTATAATTCGAAGGGCGAGTGGTCACGTCCCCCTTACATAGTAAGTTTCTAGATCTCAATCTCTGATTTGTTCCGTTTCCTTTTCTGTTGTAGTCAGAGTAGAGCTTTGCCGTAATTATGGTTAGGGATTCCGAAAGAAAAACTGTTCTGGATTTTGTTCCACCATAGACTCGGTGGATAAGGTAGAAAACCTTAGATCTAAGTATGACTTCCCTCCCGCCTTAGAGGCGAGAGCTCCGTTAGGGAACAAGAGGGCCAACTCTCCTCCAAGGGGAAGAATTACCGTGTATCATAGATTTATGCACCTAGGGCTTAGATTTCCCCTTTACCCCCTGTTTGAGGAGATTGTTCAACATTATAGGACCCCTCTCGCTCGTTTTACCCCAAATTTAATTACATTTGTATTGGAGTTTGCGAGAGTGTGCCAATATGTAAAAGTAGTACCTCGATTGATACTATGGAGGTATTTTTTCCAAGTAGTCGTGGCCTTGACTTCTTTCCAGGATTGGTATATAGTAAAAAGACGCCTTAGAGCCGGCATGAAGAAGATGGTCGAGGCGTATGGCAGCTCTCCGGAATGGAAACCGGATTTTGTGTTTGTAAAGGCACCTTTAAGCTATTGTCTGTCATGGAATCTCCGTAAGACAGAGGGCCTCGGGGCTATAAAAGATGAATGGACCCAAGAGGATGAGAAGTGTGTCGAGGAGTTCCAGGCAGATCTCGAGAAGATTCTGAGATACTCGAAGGTCGTTAAGTGGAACGACGTCCAATACTATGTGCCCCCTGCATATCCAAAGGAAGGTGATACATTCATTGTCGAGGGAGCAACCAGAATTCCCCTCGAAATCTCTGAAGAAGACAATCAAGGTACTAATCATTTTCTTCTTTTTTTTTCTTTGTTGTTAGGTCATGTCGTCAAGCAATGCTGGGTCTCGATTGTTTGGTGACGAAAATCCTTTTGTCATTGTGAATTCAGATGAGGATGTTACTGTTACTGCCGCCCCCCAGAAGAAGAAGAAGAAAGGATTGTGAAGGTGGGTGATAGGGCAAAATCCAAGAAAGCCAAGACGGATGTGCCCCTGAAGGAAACCGCTCAACCGAGCATCGAGACAATACCCGTTGCCACCGAGTCCGCACAGAAAACCATGCGGGAGAGGGGGCCAAGCATGGTTCCTCTTGTGGTAGGGAAAGGAAAGGGCCCTCTCGAGGGAGAAGCCATAGTTTTGCCTCCCCAACTGTTCGAGGGAGGTCCGATGGTGGCAGTTCACACCTTCAGTAACCCGCCTTCAATCGAGTGTCCTGTTCTCGAGGAATTCGCTGCCCAACTCAATGAAGCTGACAGCTTGCGGTTGGTAAGCAATTTTTTCAAATTATGTTGTAAATGCGCTGCGGATGTGCACGTGTCTTTAATATGTTGTGTTGGTTCAGATGAGTGCCGCCTTGATGGCCTACTTAGTGCAGCTGAGGAAACTTCGAGAGGACCTGGCAATAGCAAGGGCAGAAAGGGATGAGGCGTTGTTCAAGGTGGTTACCCTCGAGGAGAAGGTTCACCAAGTTCAGGCCAAGGAAGCAGAGATTGTCGAGGTGCAGGCCAAATATGACGAGCTCGACGAGAAGATGAAGTCGTATGCTGGTCTGCATATCTCCAAGGAAGAGCTCCACCAGTGGTGTACCGCCTTTATGTATAGAATGATGTCCACAGGCGGAATGGCGGCAGCCCTCGAGGAGGTGAACTTGGTTGCCACCAAGTGTGGTGCGCACCGAGTGAGCGTGGCAGGGTTGAGGAGGCTCGACCAGGATAGGCCAATTAAGGCCAAATGGTTCAAGCAACTCTTGATGAAGGACACAAAGAAAACCATGCACGAGGCCATGGTGAAGGTCATGATGAGGTTGAGCCTCGAACAGCTCCCTCTGTGGGGAGCCTTGACCGGTGCCATTTCTAAGATGAGTTCCCCTGCAGAGATTGCCTCGTTTCCGGGCGACGTCCCTGCTGTCCTGGCCAAGGGTCCGAGTGAGGAAGACCCCATCCCTGAGGTTCCTGATGAGTATATGGGCATCGAGCTCGAGGATGCTGATGAGGACACCGAGGAGGACGTTGCTGATACCGGTCACTCCGGAGTTCAAAGAACCGTTGAGGATGACTCGCAGGCCCCTTCCAATGAACCTTTCAATGATCCTCTTCCAGGCAGTGATGTTGTATGAATCCTACCTTCTGTAATAGTTATTAGGCTATTCAAACCTTTTTTTTTTTTTTGCTGTAAATTAATTTTTCTTTTCTTTCACAGACTTTATACAAACGTCTCTTCTCATTCCAGTTCTTTGTCCTCTGTGTTCTTTCTATTTGGTTTGATGTGAGTGCCTTATGCTTCTCTGGTGAAACAGGAAAGTTGGACCGTTCATCGCGTGCACCACATGGTGTTTTCAGAAGAGCAATCGAGGGAGTTCCCATTATATTCCATGATAAGCGGGATTCTGAGAAGTCGTGCGGATGTGCACAGCCTTGAGACGGTGGTGCATTTGGAGAATGACCTGCTCAATGCCATGAGGACGCACAATATAAAGGTCAACCAGCATTTGATAAATGAGATCAAGGGACTCCGCGAGGAGATGCAGCGTTGAGAGGTTCAAAGTCAGAAAGACTACAGTGATTCTCTGACTTTCGAGGCCGAGATCCATGACGAGCTGGTGACCATGGAGAAGGAAAATGCTCGGCTTAAGGCACAACAGCAGATTACCGTGTCTCCCTGGTTTCTCGAGAAGCACCAGGTGTTAGCCCGGGTCCAGCACATGATTGTGGTCAGGACTCACCGTTTTATTGCACCCATGGATATATTGAAAGAAAGGTCTCGTGAGATCGAGCTTCTTACAGGTTATATCGCCCAACTGCAGAATCTTCTATTGGATAACAATATCGACTTCGAGGCTTTCGAGCGTCCAGAGGAGACAGTGGATCCTCGAACTCGGAGCTCTCGAGATGAACTGTTGATGAGGGTGGACGCTCAGGATACCGAGATCGTGGACCTTAAGAACAAATTGAATCAGTGCGTGAATCTCCTTAGCCTGCATGGGTATAAGGGGATTATTCATCCCTCCCCCGACAATCCTGTCAGGGAGGTGCTTGTAATAGTGTAGAAAGTATGTACTTTCCTGCGAGTTCGCACAGTAACATGGAACGAATGTTTATTTTACTCGAGTATTAATTTTTAAAGCGCTTTCTGGGCCTGATGTAGAATGTACGGCTCTGTCATGGGAATTGGGTACGAATTCCTTGACTTGACACTGCGTTTTGCAATGTACGCGAGGAAAGTTCCTCAAGTTCGTGTCCGGATATTGAGTACACGGCTCTTGAACGAGGATGACCCTAAAGAGGGAGTCCATCTCGGTGACTAGTCATGAATGCATTGCTATTAATGAAAAGGATATGTAATGTCTTTTATTGAATAATTTCCCGAGGACCCAGGTTAGCATTACATATGAGAATATAAAACTGACTGGGTAAATAAAGTAAGTAAAACACATAATGGGCAAATAGCGGACAAAGACTTAAATATAGAACCTGCGAAGATTCTGAATGTTCCACCATCGAGGAAGAATGGTTCCGCCATCATCCAAGGCTTGTAGGCGGTAACAGCCTACTGGGGAAGTCTGGATAACCTTGTAAGGCCTTTCCCAATTTGCAGTATGTCTTCCAGGGGTTTCCACTCGACTGGCCTCGTTTTTCCTTAGCACGAGATCACCCACGGCGAGATCCGTGGCTTTCACCTTCTTGCTGTAATGTCTGCAAAGAGTCTCTTTATATTTGGCCTCTCGGATTCTGACGGCATCCCGACATTCCTCGAGCAGGTCGAGGTTTAGCCGAATGTCATCATCATTGGTACTTTCGACGAAATTTGCGGTTCGAGGACTCGACTGACCGATCTCGACTGGAAGGATGGCGTCCATACCGTAGACTAAGCTGTATGGTGTCTCGTCGGTCGAGGAGTGGGCAGTTGTCCGGTATAACCACAGGATGTGAGAAAGTTCGTCGGCCCATGCACCCTTGGCATCATACAACCTGGTCTTGATTCCATGCAGTATTGTTCTGTTGATGGATTCGGCCTGCCCATTGGCTTGGGGATGGGCTACGCTTGAGAAGCGGCGTTCGATATGTATTTCATCGCACCATGACCTGAAAGTATTGCTCTCGAACTGGGTCCCATTATCGGAGACGATAACCTTTGGGATCCCATAGCGGCATACTATGTTCTGCCAGAAAAAATCCAAGACTTTTCTTCCGGTGATCGAGGCTAAGGGTTTAGCTTCTACCCATTTAGTGAAGTAATCTACTGCTATAATGGCCCATCTTACTCTTCCTACTCCTTCCAGGTAAAAGGGGCCGATGATATCAGTGCCCCATTGGTAGAACGGCCACGGGCTTTGGATGGTGACCATCTTGTGCTGTGGCTGCCGGGTGATGGGAGAGAAGCGCTGACACTTCTCACACTTTTGTACCCATTGGTAGGCGTCTTTGAAAATTGTCGGCCAGAAATATCCTGCTCGCAAGACCTTCTTGGCGAGTGCTCTTGCTCCCATATGAGCTCCACACGATCCTTCGTGTACTTCTTCGAGTACGTAAGCTACTTGCTTTGGGCCAATACACCTTAGCATGGGTAGCAGGTATCCATGCTTGTATAGGATGCCGTCTCACAATGTGTATTTGACCGCCTTTAACCGGAGGGTTCTGGCTTCTGCTTTTCCACTCGACAACGTCCCATCTGTAAGGTATTGGATAAAAGGGGTCATCCAAGTGTCGCCGTCCTCGACGACGGTCGTTACGGGGATGTCCATGATGCTAGGATTGGGGAGAATCTCGACCCATACTTTGTGGCTAAGGTGTTTAAAGTTTGACGAGGCCAGCTTGCTGAGGGCGTCGGCTCTTTTGTTTTATGAGCGGACTATGTGGCACACGGTGCATTCCTCGAATTTGTCCTTGATGTCGAGGACCTTCTCGAGGTAACACTTGAGTTGCTGGTCGTTTGCCGTGTATTCTCTCAATATCTGTTTCACCACTACTTGGGAATCACTGAAAACTTGTATTTTGCGGACCCAAAGTTTTAGTGCCATGTTCAACCCTACTATTAGTGCCTCGTATTCTGCTATATTATTGGTGACCGAGAAACCGAACCTCAGCGCGTATGTATATTCTGCGTCGTACTCTTTCATGTTCTCGACATCAGGATCGGCCAGAGGTTTGGATAAGATGATGCCGGCTCCTCCCCCTTCATCGCAATGCAATCCGTCGATGTATAGTGACCAGGCTCGAGGGTTGATATGGACGAGAGTAGTGGTATCATCTTTAGGCTCGAGGGGTGCCGCCATTCCTTTGACTTCGATGGCTTGAGGCGTTTCTACTAAGAAATCTGGAAAGGCTTGCCCTTTGATGGCTGATTGAGGCTTGTATTCGATATGGTGCTCGCCCAATTCGACTGCCCATTTCATCATCCTGCTGGACGCTTCTGGCTTTAGCAGGACTTGCTGAATTGGTTGTTCTGTGAGAACCATGATGGGGTGTGCTTGGAAGTATGGGCGTAGACGTCGTGCGGCCAAGACTAGGCTGAGGATAAGCCTTTCCATGGGTGTGTAACGGGTTTCTGCCCCTTGCAAGACTTTGCTAACAAAATTGACGGGGACTTCTCTGCCATCTTTGCGCTGCACGAGAACCGCTGAGACAGCTTTCTCTCGAGCCGCCAGGTAAATGTACAGTGTTTCTCCTGGCTCGGGCTTGGCTAGTGTGGGTAACTGCTTGAGGTGCTCTTTTAGGTCTTGGAAGGCTTTCTGGCATTCTTCATTCCACTCGAATTTTCTGCCTTTGCGGAGGGTGTGGAAAAATGGAAGGCTTCTTTCTGCGGATCGAGATAGAAACCTGTTTAGGGCCGCCAAGGTGCCTGTGAGTTTCTAAACTTCCTTGACGGTTTTTGGAGCTTCCATAGCTAAGATAGCCTCGACTTTGGCCGGATCAACACTTATTCCAGCCTTGGAGACTTGGTACCCTAAGAATTTCCCTGATCCAACGCAGAAGGTGTATTTTTTGGGGTTCGGCTTCATGTTAATCTTGCGTAATATTGTGAAGATTTCCCGTATGTCTGCGGCCACTTGTTTGTCCTTGTTAGTTTTGATCACCATGTCGTCTACGTAAATCTTGATGTTCCGGCCGATTTGGTCATGGAAGGTTCTGTTCACGAGACGCTGGTATGTGGCTCTAGCATTTTTCAGTCCGAAGGGCATCTTGTCGTAGCAATATACCCCTATCTCGGTGATGTAGGCTATCTTTTCTGCATCTTCTTGTGCCATGAGGATTTGATGGTATCTCTTGTAGGCATCAAGGAAGCTGAGGACTCTGTACCCGGCAATACCCTCCACCATTTGATCTATGACCGGTAGAGGGTAGCAGTCCTTGGGGCAATGTTTGTTGAGGTCAGTATAGTCTTGGCACATACGCCAGGAGTTGTCGGGTTTTCGTACTAGGACCAGATTGGCCAACCAGGTAGGCCATAAAACTTCCTGGAGTATGTTGGCATGGACTAGTTTCATTGTTTCCTCGTTGATGACATCGTTGCATTCTCGAGCAAATACCCTGTTCTTCTGCTGTACTGGTTTGACGTTTGGGTCAACATTTAGCTTATGTTCTATGACTTCTCGGGGGGCCCCTGTCATGTCCGCTGGAGACCAGGCGAATATGTCCTGGTACTCGCGCAGCAAGGCGCTGATCTCGGTTAGCAAGGGGTCTTGGAGGGAAACCCCGATTTGGACGGTTTTGGTGGGATCAGACTCATTTAGGGTTAATTCTCGCGTCTTGCTGCTGAACGAGGAAAGGCCCGATGTCTCGGGGTCTTCTTCCTCTGGTGGGTTGAACTTTTGTCGAATTGAGTAGCATTCTGACAAGGCAGACCCTGGGTTAAGGTGTGTGGTCTTCTTTCCGATTCTAACCGCAGTAAGCAAGCATTCTCGAGGACTTCGCTGGCATCCTTTCACTACTCCTACTCCATATTCTGTTGGGAATTTCATTACCAAGTGATAGGGGGACCATATCGGACGTGCCTGGCACATCCAGGGTCACCCTAGGATCACGTTGAACGGCGAGGGCGCATCTATTAGGGCGAAATCCATGGTCAAAGTGACTGTCCTAGGATGCGACCCTACCGAGATGGGTAGGCTGATTATAC